GGAGCGATGAAATATTCAACGAAAAGCGATGTGTATGTTGAATTGACAAAACGTACAGGTCGCATGACTCCATTCTGCTTTGAGTTTACAAATGAATGGCCCCTAAAGTAGGCTTGGAGCAGTTCATGTTCCACTAGGTATCGTATAGCAACTCAGTTCGGAGGGAACACGTGGAGATGAAATTAGCGATGATTGGACTCTTATCTTTGCATGGAAGTTAACAAATTATTTCTAACGGGTAGTATTATTTTCACTTCCAGATGGAGTTTTGGTGTCGTTCTATATGAGATTTGCACAATTGGTAGGTTATTAGTAAGCAGATTAAAACGTAAAATGTTTTTATAAGGGTGAAGCTGGTTCCTTCACGATTTGAATTTCATGCGTGTGTATAATGGCGGCAAGGGTCTACGTACTTAAAATTTGATAAAACTTAGCGAGGTCACAGGCTATGGCCGTTAAACAATTTTAACAGTGAGTGAGTGCAAGAGTCTACGTAGTATAAGTTGGGACCCCACCCTTCCGAAGGTTCATGTATCCACCCCCAAATGTTGTATTCCGTAACGTTAGGTCTGATGCAGGCCAATCACACCCTTAATAGCAGCTTGTTCAGTCTTTTGTGACATTTCCAGCACTAGGATAGCCAATAAGATGCAATGCATACTTAACAAGTTTGCTTTAATTGACCTTGTTTGCAGGCGCCGAACCTTATCCAGGAATAAGTCCATATAAGCTTCCAAGCGTGTTACAAAAAGGATACAGAATTCCAAAACCAGAGTATTTCAAGGATGAGCTGTATGTTTGTCGACTTTTTATTTAACCCTACGATAAAACCTTGATGGTAGAAGAGGCTTACTGAAGCAATTTTTTAGCACAACTGTAAAGATAGATCAGCCGAGAGGTGTTATTCTGACGTAAGTGAGATGTCACTGTCCAGCATTCTCTACTTCACTGAAGCTCCTTTTCATTAAAGTACTAAAATGGAGGAACTTTGAGCTGGAGAACTCATAACGGACCATACATCTATTTCCAGTCCTACCGTATTGCTGTCCTCAGTCTACAATTTACTGTCATCTTTTTTGAGACATATAGGTTTGGTCCTACTCTTAATTATAAGACATTTACTTTGTGCCTGCAGGAATTACGAAGATCTTAACGTGATTCGAACTCATAACTGCAGTATACGAGGTGATAGTGCTTCCAAAATATTCTGCTTGCTGACCATGAGAAATTCTTGTACTTTTTAGGTATGATATCATGATGAAATGCTGGGAAATGGAACCTGAAGACAGGCCATCATTTGATTCACTGTGTACTTCTATCAGAAGATTAGAGATGTGCTCCAATCAGGTACGAATTCGTTTTTGAATTTAATTTACAGTCATGTAATGCGGAAGCATTTTGGACTAAGTCAAAGCTTAAATCATTGGTAAAAAGCCTGATTGTTTCACGCCGTATCATATTTTTACAAACGTCTTCCCAAAAAAGTTAGGCGTTAAAATGTAAATCGTTTGTTCCCGTATCAGTGGACCTTAGAAAAGGTTTCCGTACAAAGTCCACCGTTTACTGTGAGCTGCAGTCTGCGTACGTCTAGTCAGTAATCAAGCGAAGCCTTTTTAGCAGATACGGATGAACGTGACAGTGTCGACAACAAAAACGATCCATAACCAGTTGTGTGGACGAGGAACGTTACGAATAGTCCCAAAAATCTTTCAACTCCAATGGCATCTGGGTTATAAAAACTGGCAAAGAATAAATCTATAGTAATTCTGTAACATTTGAGTCATTTCAAGTTTCGTTGTTGTATTTGACATTTTATACAAAATCCGATTCGAAAGAAGTCAGCGTCGAACACGTGCCA